GGTACCTGCAGTGACTTCGCTAAATTACATCCACACCCACCCACGCCCGGCAGATTCCCCCCTGCTCATAACCCACCCCCCCCCCACCATCAGACTTGGGGGGGGGAAGGAGCAGGCAAGCGGTCTGTGCCTTCGCTACTTTTGTGTGAGGGAGTAGATCCCAGCAAGGCGTGGGATCAGACAGCAGCATAACGCCAGTCACCCCCCCCCGCCTAGAGATGTGGCTTGGCTAGGCAGCATAAATGCTAGCCGACTCCTAATTCAGTCGGTCTAGCCCTGCCAGGAATGCGAAGGCAGTAGGTAGTGGGTCACAGGGAAATAACAATTTGAGAAGTGGCTTTCCGCTGCGGAAAGACTACGGAACATGCACGTTGTTTTTTTAATGGAAGATTTACTTCTCAATTTTACTATCTCAAAGTAACTATGACTGAGTCTACGGGAAAACCGTAGACTTGCAAGTTTTCATAGAGCACGTTGGTCCTACCATTTCCGATCGGAAGGTCTCCCTCTTATGCGCAGCTTACTAATTCGAATTCCCAAAGCTTATCAAATGACCACACCAGTGAAGGATAGCAAACTACCCCTCCATCTGCCAAATTACACTAACATCAGACGAGTGCTCTGTTTAGGTATCGAGTTATTTGTGGCCACAGGCGCATTTGGAATTACCAAAGTTCGGCATTATTCTACAGTCCTGTTGGTCATATTTCGTAGGCATTTAACTTTCTATAGGACATAATTTAATGGAACAGGGAGTAGAACTAAAACGTTTTTTTTTCTCTAAAAGCATCTCTTCGCAGGAGTTTCTTTGACCACCATATAATGTCTGCGGATTTTCTCATTTTTTCAATCGATTTTTAACTCCACGACTATAAACGCATGTCAGAGGTTTCGTGCTTAGTTATAATTAACTGCCCAGTATTATTTTCATAATTGCGGTGACTGATTTCTCACATATGCGCCTAGAAGGGTTAAAAATGTCTTTATACAAATAACGAAAAACCCACATGATGTCAAAATAAAATTGTTCCAGGTACCCCGACTGAGTTCCAGTTTAGGTAATAGGTTCCTGGTAGTTTTCCTATGTCGCTAAAAAATACGAAATGGCTTCTGTTCCTTTTTCTGAAATTATTCGCTGTGTGATGCGTTTACAAGGATTTAGCTCCTGAGGTTACCCGTCCCATCTGCAAAAGACCAGCGAAGTGCGTCTGAACAGAGGATCACACACGTCACCTAAGTAATCTGTATTCGAGGGAAAAAAACTAAAATCCAAACCCGACTGTTTATAGGCGGAGCTTGGATTCCGATAACAAAAAAGTATCAACCAGCCCCTGGTGTCAGTACCCCACATACGGTCAGTTCCCATAGAAGCAAGGGAAAAGACTCAAAGTGTCGACTTCTTCCAGGTACTGCATCACTGGACAGAGCAACATGATGCCGACAGGCAAGTATCGATAGACTTTGCAGTCAGACGCTAAGGGATCAGGCTGTTCAGGACAAAACGTTTTGCCGAAAATAAAATCACTGCAAACACTCAAGCGTCTGGCAGTCTTGCTGAGTACGCAAACTGGTCTACAACGCAGGCCGTCTAACCAAAGCAGCGAGAATAGCAGCATAGATCTCAGCATAGCGCCATGGACAACAATATCTTGGCAGGGCAGTTTGCTCTATCGATTTTCCAACTCTCACGTGCTCGGCTATGCGTATCCGCGTAAAGGCCACGCAGAGGCGCGCAATAACAGGCGTGCGGCTTGAGGAGAGATGATGCAATGCGATCGGCTTTTACTGAATATGTCAAAGGGTGGCCTTTGCTCTAGTTCAAGGCAGGACTAGTCCCTCTCTATTTTATTGTGTGGAATAGTCCCCATGCTTAGATCATTATTCAGGAGAAAATTGGGCGCATCCTTGCATCCGCATAGCGTTGCGGCAGCGTTGCCTGTAGGACTGGCGGCGACTTAGGAATGGATGTTGCTTAACAGCCAAAGATGTCCGAACTGTGTCGTGTACATGCTGTTTCTAAAAATAAAACTCATAAAATGCTACAACTCGCGTGCAGCTGCGTGAGGTGGGCGATCATATGACGTTAATTATGTCCGCAACGTCAAGTCACTTAGTCGGTAGTTTCGATGCATCTGGCGTTCGGCGACTACTATTTGCTCGTATGACGACTTTATTTACTGAAATTTACTGTCAGTAAAGG